TAATGGCATGATTAGCAAGACTTGCAGAAACCGATAGTTGTTTAAGATCTCATCCGTAATATGAAACATCACATCCGTAATATGATACGGTTATTGAATAAAAAAAAACGTAAAGTATGAGCAATACATGTGATTCTTTTATTCGTTGGCCTTCTGATACTCAAAATGAGCCAATTTCCATTTGACTAAAGTATACGCCAGAAGGACCATTTTCGGGCAACAAAGCAGCCATTACYGGACCTTTTGCACCTTCTTCGGGGGTAATGAAGCCCGTTTGAGCCGACATATCCGTTATCACGTAACCAGGGTGCGCACAATTTATAAGTATATTGGGATGCTTCTTGGCCATAAGCCTTGTGTAAGCATTGAGAGCAGCTTTCGAGATTTTATAAGCAGACACTGTTAGAGGCCATCCGTTCTCTTCCAATTTATCGGCCTTGAAATCCTTCAAAAACGACTCAACAATCTCATCAACTCGTTCTTCAGTTACATCCTTCATTTCTCGTAGCTCGTTCCTCAACTTCTCGTTATGGATCCACTGAAAGAAGGAAAACAAAATTTTATGTTGTTTTTCTTATTTTCTAATATGTATACATAACGTTTTTTGTGTGTGTGTGTGTGTGAGAAATTGCACGCTTACGAATAACTCTCCGTAAAGGGAGGTGACGTTCACAATTCTTGGTGACTTGGAGAGCTGAAGAAGAGGAAGAAACRCTTCTGTTACTGCTTTAGCTCCGTAGTAATTTGTTTCGACACAAGCTTTCCCCATTTCGTAAGTTTGCTTCACAATACCCGTTAAAAGATGCGCCTTTTCGTCCAAAACTTGCATCTAAGAAACCAAACACCGTATATTTAATGTTACTCCACAAATTCTATGCATATATTAGGAGTGCTCATGAGTTAGGATGATCGGATTGAAGACATTTGAACAATTCAACCTAATGTTTGTGATTTGAAAAATCTCAACCAAACCCAAACCAAAGTGTAATCCAACCCAACCCAAAATGTACAGGTTGGTTGGTTTTTATATCTTGCTACATTAAAATATTTATCTAACCTTGAATATGTTGTTTTATGTATTGTTGATTCCTTTTTCATTATCACCCAACACAAATGTAATAAATATACTTACGAATCCATCTCCGGCTCTAAATTCTTCTTCATTGATAACAACCATTCCCATATGTCCTGCATTATTGACCTGCCCACACAATTTATATTTCAATATTAAAAACAAWTTATTTAATATCGAAARATACRTATTTTTAGAGCCAAGTATACGACAATTACCAAGATATCGAGTTTTTTGAAATGGGTTTTGACGAAATCGACCGCACAAGCAATGCTTTTCGGATCCGTGATRTCAAGTTGATGAAAAACGACATCTGGAAAACCAGAAGAATTGAGTTTTTGAACAACTTCGACTCCAATACTCTCGTCTCTGTCTGTTAATAYGACTYTGATCCCGTTTGAGGCTAGTTGACGACATATCTCGAATCCAATTCCTTTGTTTCCTCCGGTTACAAGTGCACATCTGAAACTCCAAAATAAAAATCGAGCTTGTGAGAAGATTTTTTTTTTTGGATTATATAACAGTTTTGTGTACATTTCTCTCTTTCTCTTTATATACATATACATGTATGTATATACGAGAACAATAACAAAATAAGTGAACATGAAAACGGTCGAATCACTTGTGATTTTACACTATAATTACATGTAAAATTACATACGACTTTGATTGCAACATGAGGTCACGGGCCAAGTCATACGACCGCTTGCCCTAGCGTTAAAATCACATGTGATTCACATATGATTTCGTCGTTCACGTTAACTATTTAAGAAAACTAAAAAATGTCGTTAATGTAGAAAATCATATATGATTCACGTACACATGATTCACATACATGTATATATTCACGTACAAAATCATATATGATTCACACACATACATATATATTCACATACAAAATCAATACAGGTTCAAAAGTAATCTGCTTCCATTTTTTGACGTAAATGTAAAATCACATGTGATTTTATACATTAAACAACTTTTTTCTTGTTTTCATAAATAGTTAACGTTCTCGTTTGAACCTTGATATATATATATATATATATATATAGATACAGAAATCATGAGATGTTATGAAGATGGGTGTACCTTTTGTCTTCCATTGTTGTCATGATGATCACTTGGGAAGTTGATGATCAGTTGGGAAGTTGATGATCACTTTGGAAGTTGATGATCAGTTGGGAAGTTGGGATGGATTATGGAATGAGAAGAAAACAACCTCTCTTATATACTGGATTTCAACTTCATTTCTTTTTCATTTATTTTTAATGCCATATGGATTTTCATGGAAAATAATGTAGTAAGAGCATTAAATCTTTGACTTCCTTTTTTTAATCCAAATACCAAGCGGGTTTTCTATCATCAAAATAAATTATTGGTAACCGTCTTTCGTCTGATAATCATTTATCAGATAAGAGTTTTCTCCTTCATTTATCAAGTAAGATTCTCAATCATTATCATACTCATCTGATAAGACAAGTGACAGTCAGTAAACATTTACTCAGTAAACATAAATGATTTCTTGGATGAATCAGCAGACAATGACTACGTATTTAAGCCGCCTTTTCTTTACCACCCATTAAGATTTCTAAGTCTTATATTTATGAGATTTTATTGAAATCTGAAAAAGAATTAATTAAAACACACACCAAAAAAACACTTCTTATAATATAATAATAAATATTTGATTTTAACTGATATTTTGATTTTAATACATTTTCTTTATTATATTCGTTTTTTTATTATTATCTTGACACAAAATTATATCTGATATCAGTGGAATGTTGTTATATTAAAATTTCATTATTATAATAAAATTATTTATTCGTATTTTTACTTTATTTTTAATTTTAATTTTAATTTGAATTGAAAAATCAAAGATGACATGCTGTAAGAATTAATTATTAATATTTTTTGGTCAAAAAACCTTGTATTAGAGAATTACGATCAATACATATTTGACCCGCCATCTCGACGGGACGTTATCGTCTTCAAGTGGTGAATGGTGCTAAATTGTAGCATTTATATATATATATATATATATATATATATATATATTTTATTAATTTATCATTTAATTATATTTATTTTATATGTATATTAATCGATTTAAGTAAAATAGTTTAAAATCATATTTATATTTTTTATATTTATTAATTAATTTTAGTAAATTAGTTAAAGTTATATATTTATATCTTGTTATACGAACACATTAAATTTAGTATTTTGTGACATGATGTTCCCATAACACCATATTTCAATCCTTATTATGATTTGTACGGAAATTCAAAATTTCTTAACTTACAAGATCTAACACTTCATTTTTATTTTTATGAGCACATAGTTGAAGCTTAGCCGATGGACGAGTGGACCAGCGTCAAACTTTAGTTTCGTTGCCGGCCAGAGCATGGGTGGATGTATGTGCTTGGGATTGGGGTCCTGGGACCCTAACAAAATTAAGTCTACAAAACCCATTTTTTTACTTATAGTTTTTATGTTTCTTTAATCAGACCCGCAATAAAATAAACATAAAGTCCCCTTACTCCCAGTCTAGCCCATAATTCATTTAACCTTCTTCCAGACTTCCACGGGCATGGCTTCACCTTCAGCCTCAGGCTTTACCTTCATTCATCGACAGTCGACCATTGCTTCCTGCTTCCCTTCCTGCACATCGCTTCCGCCCTGTTGGCCACTGCTCCCTCTTCCCTCTTCCGCCTTCCTGCTGCTTCCAGCTTCCTGCTTGCTTGAATCTTGATTCCTGCAGTGCACCTGACCGTGCACTGCCACCTACGGCTGCCGATTGCGTCTATTGCTACTCCAAATTGGGTAAAAACCTAAAGTTTTGATTTCCAATATTTAATTTTTAATGACTTCGATTTTGTTGTTTGCTTCATAATTGGTGATTTGGTGAATGCTTATGTTAGGTTAATTTTGCAACTTTGTAGACAAATGGAAAGGTTAGGTTGATTTTGCAATTTTGTTAGGCAAATGGAAATGTTAGATTAGGCAAATGAAAATGTTAGTTCGTGACCTTAATTCTACCTAAAAACCCACATAAAACAGATGTTTATCATTTATCAACAACAAAATGAATAAACTTATTCTCATACTCCAAGTTCCACAAGACAAATGAATTCCACAAAAGAAAAATAAAGTAACATCCATCCTGCTGAAATGTCATTTTATACTTGAAATTAACATGGGTAGAACCTTTTAGTTAAAATTATGATTGATATATAACCACTTTCTACAGAATATCGACACCAATTGTGGCAATGGATATGGTTTTAGAATGGGCAACTAGTTATTTATCTTCTGAACTTGGATAAGAAAACTAAGCAGGGCTTATCAAGGATAATGTAGAAAGAAGCAAATCCATGTTAGGTTAAATGTTACTATTGATAAAGATACACCATTGATTTTTATCTTGTTATTGCTATTGTCATGAGTAAAGGAAGACGTTTTTGTCCGGCTTGTTTTGATCAATACGCTAATTGGTTGGAGTATGGTGTAAAAACGGATAAAGCTTTTTGTTTGTGTTGTTATTTGTTTAGAGATCATTATGTAGGCAATGTGGGAGTGATATTTTTGTAACGGATGTCTTTAATAGTTGGAATAAAATGGAAAGACGTGGTCTTTATGTCGACGACATTAATAGTTTTCACAATAAAATACTTAAGAAAAGTGAGGATCTAATGAGCCAAGATCGATCTATTGTCGTTGTCTTTCATAAACAAACTGAGAAGGAGAAGAATGAGCATCGAATACGATTAAATGCTTCAATTAAGGCATGTAGATTTTTGTTGAAGAATGCATTGCCCTTTCATGGTCACGATGAATATTTTTAAAGGCATGTTCTTAGAAACATTAGCCTTAATTGATGATTGCAGTGAGGATGTAGGTAAAGTTATATTTAAAAAAATGTTCCAAGGAATAATCAAATGGTGTCTCCAAGTATTCAAAAAGATATTGCTGCTTGTTTTGCAAATCAAATACTCAAATCCATTCGTAAAGAAGTTGGTGATAATGTATTCTCGTTGCTAGTTGATGAGTCTAGTGACGTGTCTAAGAAAGAACAAATGGCGGTGGTTTTACGATATGTTGATGCACGTGGTATTGTTAAGGAGAGATTTTTTGGTATTGTTCATGTGACGATACATCTTTTTCAATTCTTAAACTTGCCATTGATACTTTATTTGTTGAACATGGATTGAGTTTGAAACAGGTAAGATGGCAAGGTTATGACGAAACAAGCAATATGTGCAGTGAGTTCAATGGATTTAAGGCCTTGATCTTGAATGAAAATAGTTCGGCATATTATATCCATTGTTTTGCTCACCAACTTCAATTAGCTGTTGTGGTGGTTTGCGCAATGTGGTGAATGCTTTGTCCAAGCTTAAAGACATGCTTCTACAAAGTTACAAAGATAGAGTGCAAGAAGCAATTGGTAAGTGTGAAATTGAAACTGGAACAAAGAAATACCAAGAGCTTTCTCTTATACGAGCCGGAGATACACGGTGGGGTTCTCATTACAAAACCATTTTGAGGTTGATTGCTTTGTTTCCGAATGTTGTTGAAGTGCTCAAGTGTGTTGAAGAAGACGTGGATAATGGTTTTAATCGCACTCAAGCAACTGGTATTTTAGCATATTTGAAGATATTTGATTTCGTGATTTATTTGCATTTGATGTTTCATATTTTAGAGGTCACAGACTTGTTGTCATGGGCTCTTCAAAAAAAAGATCAAGATATTTTGGAAGCGGTTTCATTGATAAGAGGAACCAAACAGCTATTGTAATAATTTAGAGAAACTGGTTTTGATCCACTTTTGAAGAAAATGTATTCTTTTTTGTGAAGAAAATGGCATTAATGAAAAATCGTTATTCAAAAAACGGAAGACAAAGGACCAACATCACCAATCGTCATTATTAAAAGTTTGATATTTTCAACATTATTGTAGACATGCAAATTCAAGAGTTTGGGAGTTGATTTAGTGAGGTAAGCACTGAATTGCTTAAAAATATAGTAGCTTTGAGTCTATGTGATTCATTCTCGTAGTTCAATGTATCAGATTTATTGAAGTTGAGCGAGTTGTATCCTCATGATTTTAGTCGTATGGAAAAGATCGCTCTTGAGAAACAACTTAAAATGTACTATTTGATTGTGCGTCAAGATGAAAGATTTGCTGATTTGAGTGGTATTGCCGAGCTCGCTAGATTGCTAGTGGAAACAAAAAAACATACAACTTATCCTCTAGTATATCGGTTATTAAAGTTAGCTTTGGTTTTGCCGGTTGATGTCGCAACAGTCGAAAGATGTTTTTCTGCTATGAAGATTGTGAAGTCAGATTTGCGCAAACAAAATCGGTGATGAATTTTTATATATCATGTTAGGTTTTCGAAGAGGATTTGGACCACTTAATCATCTTACACCATTCCATTCAGCAACCGCCAAACAACCCTAACCCTTGGGTCCACAAAAGGGTTTCCCACTTATTTGAGGTGCATTTATAACCAATTGATTTCTTGCTTGATATTTGTTATACATGTTTAGATCATATATATGTTTATATATCATGTTAGGTTTTCGAAGAGGATTTGGACCATGATGATAGTGAAACAGAAGAAAGTTTTGAGGCTGCAAAGCGTAAAACATGGTGTTTTTCCAGGTGATGCTACTACATTTAAATACCTTGAGGTTCGTCGCATCATACTCTCTTCAAATCGTTTAAATACCATTGATCTTGTCTAGTTTTGATTTCACTAAGATCTTTATCGCCCCCAGGCAAAACATTTTGCCCCACGAACCCGTCTACAATCATGATCAAGCAAGGTGACTCCATATCATTTTTGCCCGTCTCTCGATCTCATTTCAAGATCTTTCACATTTAAAGTCTTTCTTTGTATTTCAGGTTTATTGCTGAGTACAGGATCGATGTATCCAAATTGGTTCCCCTAGTGGCAAAGGTTCGATATGTTACTTTCCTTTGGACTTTCGTATGCTTTCCATCAAGTCAAATTGTTTTGGCTAGAGCGCATTGTTGCCGTTCTAGTTGTGTATTAATATTCCAAAAAACTTCAGTTTCAAATTCAAATGAACAAACTAATCGAAATAAAAAGCTGATACGATTTCGTTACAAAGAGTAATAATAAAATGTTCTTATTACATTGATCTTTTTGCAATCATAAATGGGGTTATTTCCGTTTGACTAAAATAGACCCCTGATGGTCCATCATTCGGCAACAAAGCAGCCATTACCGGACCTTTAGCACCTTCTTCTGCAGTACTAAATCCTGTATTTGATGTGATATCTGTTACACAATACCCAGGATGCACACAATTCACTAGAATATTTGGAAACTTTCTTGCCATTAGCCTTGTGTAAGCATTAACAGCGGCTTTCGAAACTTTATAAGCAGATGCGGTCAGAGGCCATCCATTCTCCTGCAACTTATCAGCCTTTAAATCCTTTAAAAACCATTGGATAATCTCGTCGATCCTCTCTTCAGTTAAATGCTCGATATCTTCCAATTCTTCTTTCAACTTCTCATTGTGAAACCACTAAAAAAACAAGAAAATAACGTTCATTTCATGTGAAATTTCTTTACTTTTACGTGAATATGAGTTACTTACGTGTAGGTCTCCGAAAGAGGAGGTAAGATTCACAATTCTTGGCGAGTTAGAGAGCTGAAGAAGAGGAACAAACGCTTCAGTGATTCCTTTGGTTCCGTAATAATTTGTTTTCAAACACTCTTGTCCCAATTCATAAGTTTGCTCCATAACGCCGGTCAGAAGGTGTACATTCTCATCCAACACTTGCACCTAACCGAACCAAATAAACCGTCAAGCTTCTACTGTAAGAAGTACTCGGGAAAAGATCGTTGGTAGTTCTTATTTTCATTTTTATTGTACAAAACTTTCTGTCGTGAAAATTTTCAATGTTGGACTCTTTTTAAACATTATAAATATGTGTATTAATAATTCGAGTATTCAACGAGCTACTTCAGCTCATTAATCTCGAGCTTAAACTTAGAAATTTTCGAAATTCGTGTAGATCTCAAACACAAAATAAATCTCGTTTAATTTAACGAGTCATACTTCTAAATTAAACTTATTTTTTACTCACAATATGTAATCAAATTTATTAAACTCGACGAAAATTGAAAAAAACTGCAAGCGTTGCTACTTGATTCGATTCGACTCAACTCGACTTAAACTTTTTAATTCATTTGTTTCCTTAATTCACTACAACAAAATTGGGTTTATAGGATACCCACAATCTCTAAGCGTCCCAATAAACTGTTTTATAGGACTTAATTTATAAGACCAAAATATAAAGCGTCCTATCTAAAGGTGTTGTAATAAGTTTATGTGACGCTTTTGGGCGTCTTAACAAGTTTTTTAGTACATTTTTAATATAAAGTCAAATTTATTTTTTATAGAACGTTTGTTTTTATAGGACAATTTTTCAAAAAACGTCATATAAACTTATTACAACACCTTTAGATAAGACATTTTTTTTTGTCCTATAAACTAAGTCTTATAAAAAGTTCTATTAGGACGTTTAAAAATTAAGACTTGGAAGTGTCCTATAAATCCGATTTTGTTGTAGTGATTATAAATAAATCATGCATTATGAAAATACTAATTGTTATTAAAATTAAATGTAATAACCAACTAAAGAATGAGATTTTTGCATAGAAATACTTACAAATCCTCCTCCATCTTTAAATTTTTTTTCATTTAAATAAATAACTCCACCTTCTGCTGCATTATTGACCTGCATACAATAATTACATTTTCTTCCATTAAAAAGGACAATTATTAACGGTGTCTGATTAGTTTGAACTTAGCTCCAAAGATTAAAAGTATCAAGAGGTCCCAGATTCAAATCTAAGTAGGAATAAAAATTCCCTTGTGGCCACGGAGGTTCAAATGCGGTGACTCCGGGCTATCTGCAAAGCAGATGGTCACTCTGGGATTAGTCGGCTCTCATAGCGGGTTGGATATCCAGATTAATAAAAGAAGGACAATTATTTCAAAGATATATACATAAAATCCGTGTAAATTTTTTTTTTACAGTGGTAACTGAAAATGATTGTTTATCAAGTGTCTAAATAAGTGCCTACTGAGACGTGGACCGAGTTAGAAAACAACTCCTTTTTTTTGCTGACTCAGTATCTCGATCAATATATCTGTGTCAAAGTGTGTTGGTGAACAACATCCCTTCAAAGTGTTATATATACGGTCACGAAGCTTTCACTTACCAAGATATCGAGTTTCTTGAAGTGGGTTTCGACGAATTTGACCAAACGTGTTATGCTACTTGGATCTTTGATATCGAGTTGATGAAAAAGGACATTCGAAAGGCCGGATTCTTTGAGTTTTTCAACAGATTCAGCCGCTCGACTCTCGTTTCTAGCCGTTAATACGACTTGTATCCCGCTCAAAGCAAGTTGACGACATGTTTCGAATCCAATCCCTTTGTAACTTCCGGTAACAACTGCACATCTGGAATTTCGAAAACAAATATTGAATTTATAAGAACAGTTTGAAGGTTTTTATGAATTATTTTTATGAAATTAAGAAGCTGAAATAATAATATCGATGAAGATGGATGGTACCTTTTGCCCTCCATTAATTAGTCGTCCGAATTGCAATAGAGAAATGAGATAATATTTGTCATATATATACACACACACATGTGTATATATATATATATATATATATATATATATATATATAGGGGAGCGATCAAATGCAAACCACTCAATTTGTACAAACCGTGCAAACCGCATTCAACCAATCATAATTTTTCATTTTGTTCATTTTTTGTAATTATGAGAGGTTGATCGATCATTTTTATTGTGGAGGGTGTTAATTATAAATATTATCATCTTCATTATTTTAATTTTAGAGAAATACATGAAACAGTTTCATTAATGTTAGAGAAATACATGAAACAGTTTCATTAAGTATTATATGAAACAATTTCACAACCATATATGAAACAACTTCATCAAAAAAAGTATTATATGAAACAATTTCACAAGATTAAACAATTTCATGAAAAAATTTCATAAGATTAAACAATGAAATCGACAAATGAAGGTGGTTTGCACGGTTTACACAAATGAAGGCGGTTTTCATATGATCACTCATCTATATATATAAATATATATGTATATAGGGTTGGGTTAACGTGAGACCAAGAGTTTTTCGTGAGACTCGTAAGACCAATTTATGTTCATTGATCAACTTTATAAGTTAATGATCTAATGACCTAAATTGCACGGTGGCAATTTTGTAATTATTGAGAAGTCTTGTGGCGTTTATGAATGTTTAGATTGTCATATTGTAGATCTAATCCAAAGGTTGAGAATTGGTCTTACGGGTCTCACGAAAAAACATTGGTCCCACATGATCCCAAGTCTATGTTTATATGTGATATATATCATGATATGGTTTTGGTCGTATGTGTGTTTGTGGCTTAGAAACACCCACGACTGAGTTTTAAGTAAGTTGAGGCTTGGTTTTATGGGTTGGATTCACATTAGATCAAGGATTTTATGTGAAACATATAAGACCAATTTATATTTACTGATCAACTTTATAAGCTAATGATCTAAAGTTGCATGGTGGCAACTTTGTGATTATTGAGAAGTCTCGTGGCAATTTTGTAATTATGAATGTTCAGATCGTTGATCTAATCCAATAGTTGAAAATTGGTCTTACGGGTCTCATGAAAAGCTTTTAGTCTCACATGATCCCAAGTTGTTTCATTGAGGGACGGATTAGATTTCTTTTAAAAAACGGACGGTTTGATTAAAACGGGATATTTTTCATAACATCACTAGTTGTGTACCAATACAGCGGGAGCCATGAATTTTAACGATTTTGAAGTTCCACTGATTTTATAAGATAAGATTTAACGATGATATATATTACACTTGGTCTTTACATATTAATACAATTTGAATAAATAAGAGTTATGGTTCCAATTACAGACTATCGATGAAAAAATTGTATGACAGTTTAAAATTCAATATATTTAAACGACTTCACAAATGTATTCGATTTACACCAAGAGCAAAGAACCAAGAAACTTGAGTTTTAAGATAAACACTCAAAACCAATAAAGAAAACTACAAATTTGACAGATCATAAGTCATGAAAAGACAAAAAAAGATGGGTTTTAGAATGAAATTTCAACTGTTTACCCTCTTTTTTGTCCAGAAACTCAGATTAAGGTTGAATTAATACATGTATATATATATTTCAAAAAAACCCAAAAACATGATAATTCAAAACATATTATATAATGTAATTTGGACAGCCTAACCCTAAAATATATAGTATATATATAAATAAATAACTATAAAAGTATAAATCGTAAATATTAAAAATATTTTTTCACAATATATATATAATATGTAATAATATAATTAAGTCAAAAACTATTCAAAATATTGGACACATTTCGAAGGTATTAACGAGACGATTATAATGGTGTAACTTGTTAAAATAAAAATATATTTTTTAAACATGTTTTAATTGATATACGATTATGTATGTTAATTTGATAAATGTTTAAAATGAAACATTTAAAAGTAAATGACATAAAGTAAATTAATTAATTAGTTATAGGGGTATAAAGTATAAATTTAAAATTATAATTTTTAAAAAAATCTGGTTGAGAGGGTGAATGTATGTGGGGGGTGATTGTATGTGAGGAGAGGAGGGGGTGAAAAAGTGAAAAAGTAAGTATAAAAGGTATTTTGGTCAAGTATTTTAAGACTTTAAGACTTTTGCTAAATTTGCTTAATAAGATAGTATAGATAATTGATATGTTGGTTAGGTTATTATTTTTCATATGTGGGGTCTTGTATTTAAGTCTTTTATTGTAAATTTTTTTAAAAACATAATAAATCTTAAATTAAAAGCTAAAAACTAAAAAAATAATACCTACAGGATTCAAAATCTGTCCGAGGGTGAAAAAAAAAACAACTCTACCAAGAAAAACTTGTGTCCTTATTGTAATTTCATAATATATATGATGACAGACAACAAATCGGTACAGTCGCACCTTTTCACGAGCCTAATTTTTTTTACACTATGACGTAGAAATAAAATGGTGGCACGTGCCACTGTAACCATTGAACTAAGTCCGTCCCTAGTTTCATCGACATCAGTATTTTATAGACCTTTTTATAAAATACTATAAATGGTTCGGAATTTTATTTCCTTTGGGATGGAACATACAAGTTATTAATAGGATTTACCACTACCTTTGCTAGGAACCATGGTATATATGATCAGTGATTTTAAAATTATTAAATAATTTTGATTTATTGATTTTTTTTTATTTTGATTTATTGATTTTTTTAATTCATGTGATTTTAAAATTATTAAATAATTTTATATATTATGATAATTGTGTGAATTATTATCGTAAAGTTTTATTTTATGTGAGTTTTTTTCATCTAAGGTTAAATTTAATATATTGATTAATATATATTTGTTTTATGATGTATTTGGTTCATAATGTAAAATTATTTGGTTGTTTTTTTTCATTTACAAACAGATAAGAAAATGTTTATATTGTGTAACAACATATGTGAAACAAATATATGTTAATTAATACAATAATTAAATTCAAGTTATGTATGGAAAAAATAATGTGAAATGACATATAATACACTGTTGTTCTCAGAGTTATTACAGTTTTATGAGTTATTAAATGAAGACTTATTTTTAAATATATAAGAAACAAAATCAATTTTATCGTTTTTATAATTTTTAAACGGCCAAATATGATCCTGCACAATATTTTGAAGTTGAAGTTCGACCACTCAAATTTGATAAGGTCGGGGATTGAGTTGCGGATGGCTAAAGCAATAAAACCCCATACCAAATTTGTTTTTATGTATTTATTTTATTCTTTAAAATAAATACATATACATATATGTATATATGTATATGTATAGGTACATGTATGTATATATGTATATGTATAGGTACATGTATGTATATATGTATATGTATATTATATAGACTTGAGATCATGTGAGACCAAGGGTTTTTCGTGAGACCCGTAAGACCAATTCTCAACCCTTGGATTAGATCTACAATCTAAACCTTTATAATCACAAAATTGCCACGAGACTTCTTAATAATCACAAAATTGTCACCATATAACTTTATACTATTAGATCATTAGCTTATAAAGTTGATCATTGAACATAAATTGGTCTTACAGGTCTCACAAAAAACCCTTGGTCGTATGTAAACCCAACCCTATGTATGTAAGACCAAGGGTTTTTCGTGAGTCCCGTAAGAACAATTTATGTTCATTGATCAACTTTATAAGCTAATGATCTAATAGTATAAAGTTGCATGGTGACAATTTTGTGATTATTGATTAGTCTCGTGGCAATTTTATGATTATGAATGTTCAGATTCTAGATCTAATCTAAGGGTTGAGAATTGGTCTTACAGATCTCACGAAAAAAAAAACCTTGGTCTCACATGATCCCAAGTCTCTCTCTCTCTCTCTCTCTCTCTCTCTCTCTCTCTCTCTCTCTCTATATATATATATATATATGAGTGTTCAAATAAAAACCATCCAATTTGTAGAAACCGTGCAAACCTCATTCAACTAATCATAATTTTTTATTTTGTTCATATTTTTGTAGTTATAAGAGGTTGATTAACCATTTTTATTATGAAGGGTGTTAATCATGAATATTATTATCTTCATTATTTTAATTTTAGAGAAATACATTAAACAGTTTCATTAAATATTATATGAAATAATTTTATAACCATATATGAAACAAATTCATCAAAAAAAGTATTATATGAACCAATTTCACAAGATTAAATAATTTAATGAAAAAATTTCATAAGATTAAACAATGAAATCGACGTATGAAGATGGTTTGCACGGTTTGTACAAATGAGGGTGGTTTTCATTTGATCGCTCCTCTATATATAGAAGATATATATATACACACAAAATTTCGCAACATATGCCTATATACATGGTGAATAAAAGAGTTATATAACTACCATTAGTGAAGAATGATTAGTTTTTATACTACTAACTACATATTATGAAACATAATTTGATGGGGGTTGAGGTACCTTTTCTCCTCCATTGGGCACATGTGAAGTGGCCAGGGACCTATGGCGGTGTCAACGGTGGCACGTGCCACTGTATTATTTCTTTGTCGAATGGTAAAAAAAATAGGTTCGTGAGATGTGCAACCGTATTAATTTTTTGTATGCCACCGTATGTATTTTGAAACTGTAATCTGAACAAGTTTTCTTTTGTAGAGTTGGTTTGCAAGGCTTTTATTCCAACCCAGACCCGAGTTTGAATAATGTTAGTGTCATTTTCTTAGTTAAATGGTGCCACAATTTAAAAATATTTTTTTTCTTATATTTGATTTTTATAGTCAAATGATACCACCGTTTTAAAAAAATTTGGATCCATCCCAGGAAATGGCATACAAAGAAAGAAGAAAGGACCCTCTTTTACAGCAAGTGATTTAATAAATAAAGATAATAATATTGCTTCAATACTTTATATTGTAAAAATTAATATAAAATGTGACATAAAAAATTAAAGTAAAATTTAAAACCCTAAAATTAGGTTACAAAATGGAAAACAAAAACAAAATTCGATGGCTTTCCAACATATGAGTAAGGTAAATGTTAGAGACGGATCTAACATTTCCAACTTGTGTTTTTATTGTAGTTTTATAATATATATGATGACAGACAGCAAATCGGTACAGTTGCACCTTTTCACGAACCTAATTTTTTTTTACGCTATGACGGAGGAATGAAACGGCAGCCCGTGCCACTGTAACCATTGAACTAAGTTTGTCCCTAGTTTCGTCGACGTCAATATTTTATAAACCTTTCTATAAAATACTATAAATGGTTCGGGATTTTATTTTCTTTTGGAATGGAACATACAAGTTATTAATAGGATTTACCACTACGTTTGCTAGGAACCATGTTCCTCAAACTCTAGTTCAAATTCAAGAAAACAAACCCATAAAAATAAAAACAACGATTACAATTTATTAAGATCGACTGACGAAAATGAACCTATTTGCGTTTTATTGAAGAAAACACCGGAAGGCCCGTCATCAGGTAACAAAGCAACCATCACTGGACCTTTAGCACCTTCTTCTGCAGTTAGAAATCCGGTATCTGATGTCATATCTGTTGCACAATAACCAGGATGTACACAGTTGATACGAATATTTTGGAACTTTTTCGCCATTAGCCTTGTATAAGCATTAAGAGCAGCTTTCGAAACTTTATAAGCAGAGCTTGTTAAAGGCCATCCGTTCTCCCGCAACTTAGCAGCCTTGAAGTCCCTCAAAAACCATTGAATAATCTCGTCTATCCTTCCTTCAGTTAAGTTCTCGATATCCTCCAACTCTTTTTTCAACTTTTCATTGTGAAACCACTGAAAACAAGAAATACAGTTTATTTCATTCCTTATATGTGAAATTTCTGTATATCTGTTTATTCATGTATGAATTACTTACATGTAGATTTCCATATATGGATGTAACATTCACAATCCTTGGTGATTTAGAGAGCTGGAGAAGTGGAATAAACGCCTCTGTAATTCTTTTGGTTGCATAATAATTTGTGTTCAAACACTGTTCTCCTAGTTCATAAGGTTCCTCAACTACGTTGGTTAGAAGGTGTACATTCTCATCGATCATTTGTATCTGATCAAACCAAATACAGTATCAAACCGTTTACGATGCCACATTGAAATAAATTACGCCATATATAACATAGTAGCAAAAAGTTAATGTTTTCTGTCTCTTTTATATATGTTTAAGAAAAGAATAAACTGTCTTTGTACAATTATAGAAGGTGTTAGCATAATATAGCAAAATATATCTCAATTTTAATATTTTATTTTATTATTTATCTTTGTTGATATAATACGACTTTTAGTGGTTTTGAGAAAGTGATAATGTTTTTATTTTTGAATTAAATATAAATTTAAAGATATCATAAAAAATTGAGAAAAAATATATATATCGATAATAGTATCAAATTTACTATTTAAAGTTCTAGTTTTTTGTATAATTTTCCTTAATTCGATATTTTATTTATAATTTAATTTAGATTTAATAGTGAAATAATTTATTCATCGTTTAATAATATAATTCTTTATAAAGATAATACTTACGTATTTTGTTATAACTAATGATTGTTCTGATTATATTTTGGTTTTTGTATATTCAAAATGATATGTATATCTCGTATTTGAATATGTTTATCTATAGTTAGTTATATACAAATTCAAAAATAAAGATTTAATAAGTTGTACTTATGTACAATTTACCTACGATCTTGAATTTTAAGTAATATGCATCTACAAACTATATTTTATGCATAAAAATTGATTTTTAATAGTTTTTGTCAAATATTTTATAATATAATATAGATAAGAACACCTCAACTAAAAATTTTAAAATAGATAATCAAAATTTAAAATCTCTAAAAAACTTGCAGTCAACTCCAACGGTTTCACCATTCCAAAGATTACATCATTAATTATATTATTAAAATATTAAAATATTATATACATTTTAATAAAATATTTTTTAAACATTTAATTTTAGGTTTTTTTTGATGTAATATAAGAAAAAAAATTATTTCTCTGACATGATATTCATTTTTGAAAAGTTTTCTAAAGTTAGAGAATTTCACATTTTTTTTCTATTTTTCCATTTTAAAGAAAATTGTAAAAATCATAGATATTATTATTATCCAAATAAAAAGAATATAAAATTTAAATAGTATTAATATTATTATTTTTCATATATTTTAAATGACTGCCATTAAAAATATATATACGAAAAATACTTACAAACCCTCCTCCAGCTCTAAATTCGTTTTCATGCACAACAATTCCAATTTCTGCTGCATTGTTGATCTGCAAACAATATTTAGATTTTCTTCGAATAAAAAAACACAATTAGAGTCATTTAGTAAACCCTTACTTAGATAACTGAATGCCAAATCATATTACCTTACCGGATGAATATGGTAAGAACCAAAAATCTTACCCGGTAAGAGTGAAACAAGGACCAATAGTCTTACCCGGTAAATGAATGCGACAACTCTTACTATAATAAACACTTACTGGGTAAGTTGTTGCATACGATACCGTTTTGGTGAACTAAAATTTTACCCGCTGGAATATATTTTTAATGTTAAATTTTTGGAATAAAATGAAAAAACCACTCTATTCCTTTTCCATCTCATCAAGTTATTAAATATAATTAACATTTTAAACGATGTGTCGTTTTTAATTTAAAATGAAGCAGCTGCATATCTCTTTAGCTTACCAAGATATCGAGTTTTCTGAATCTGGTTTCAATGAATTCAACCAAACATGCTATGCTAGTTGGATCGTTAATATCAAGTTGATGAAAAATGACATCTGATATACCAGAAGCGTTGAGTTTTTCGACAGCTTTCAGTCCACGGCTCTCGTTTCTAGCCGTCAGTATTATTTTAACCCCTTCCAGTGCTAGTTGACGACATATTTCGAATCCAATCCCTTTGTTTCCACCGGTGATAACCGCACATCTAAAAAAATTCAAAAACAAAAACGATTAAATTTGTGAGCATATTTTGAAAATTTCAATTTTTATGAAACAAGATGCAAATTTGGTGAGGATGAAATGTACCTTTTCTCCTCCATTTGCCACACCTAAAGTTGGATAAGAAGAAACAAGAAAACAGCCTTTTTATATTGCAACAATAAATGTTTTTTTTTTATTTTTATTTATTGATTTTTTTTAATTTATTGTGAATTTAAAATTATTAGATAACTTTATATATTATGACAAGTGTAAATTGCATGAAAAAGTAACATACTTTAACTTGATTCATATTGTGGGTAACGTACTTCCAAAACTTCTATTTTGGTACCTAAAACGTAAAGTTTTAAACATTTAAGTACCCGAGTAACCGATTGAAGCATTAATCGGTTACCATGTTAATGTTGCAAGTAATGGAATAAAATGGGGTTCAATAGCAAATAATACTGAGTTTGATATCACGTCACTCTCTACATCAGCATGGTAACTAGTTAATGTTTCAACCTGTTAGTTTGTAACCGATTGAAACATTAACCGGTTACCATGTTAATGTTTCAAGTAATGGAATGAAATGGGGTTGAATAGCAAATAATATTGAGTTTGATATCACGTCACTCGCCACATCAGCATGGTAACTAGTTAATGTTTCAACCTGTTACTCGAGTACTTAAATGTTTAAAACTTTACATCTTACGTACCAACATGGAAGTTTTGAAAGTACGTTACTCAAAATAGGAATCAAGTTAAATTACGTTATTTTTTCATACAATTTGCTCTTATGATAATTGTGAGAACTATTATCGTAAAATATTGTTTTATATGATTTTTTTTCATCCGAGACTAAATTTAATATATTGATTAACATATATTTGTTTTATAATGTGTTTGTTTATATGTATTTGGTTCACAATGTAAATTATTTGGTTGTATTTTTTCGTTTGCAAATACATACAAAAATGTTTGCATTGTGTAACAAATATGTATAAATCAATATATTAGTTAAATTCAAGTTGTGTATGGAAAAATTAATGTAAAATGATATATAAAACACTGTTCTCATGGTTATTATAATTTCATGGGTTACTGAATGAAGACTTATTTTATATGTAAAATAAAATCAATTTTATTGTATTTTAATTTTTAAAAGTCAAATACGATATGCGAGTGGGACCTACACAATGTTTTGAAGTTGAAGTTCGACCACTCAAATTTGATAAGGTCAAGGATGATTTGCGGATGGCTGAAGCAATAAAACCCCATACCAAATTTGTTTTATTTATTTATTTTATTCTTTAAAATTTATTTATATATATAGAGAGAGAAAGAGGAGCGATCAAATGAAAACCACTTTAACTTGTAAAAATTGTAAAAACTACTCTCATCCATCGTTAATCTTATGAAATTTTTTCATGAAATTGTTAATCTTGTGAAATTGTTTCATATAATACTTTTTTGATGAAGTT